GGGGATTCGAACCCGTGACCCTCAGATTGTGAGTCGAGTGCCCTAACCACCTGGCCATGCTGGGCCCCGTGATATGGATCCCGAATAACGCGTTATAGTGAGGCTCCACTGTATATTTTAAATTAGAAAAAAAATTATATTATAACATTAAAAAAATATTTGAAATGAAGAAAGATCCTGTTGGAAAGTGATTTCAAAGTATTGGATACTATGTATTGACTATGTATAGTACGACATTAAAAGTCCATAAACATTCAGTTTATCCTTTAATACCAACAAATAATGGCATTTGGTCAAGTTTTCTGATTAAATTCCTTCACGAATACAGGAGTAATAAAGTCAGTTTAACGTAGTTCTGAGTTTCCGCAATCGGTGCTGAGTTTGAAATTTCATCATGATACGTATGCAGTCATTTTTAGGTTAAGTCATTGTACACTAATATACCTATGAAATAATTTATTGACCATTTGTTAATTCTAGTTCTTATAAAATTTGTTTAAACAAGTTGTTTTTTTTAATTATGTATTTTGCTGTTAGTTCAAATTTACAAAGCCAATGTGAGATCTCAACTTGCACCTATTTGCGAGTTAGGAGGCTGGTACTGTATGGCTGCTTTTAAACCACTATATTACAGCATTATGTAGAAGACACTTCAGATAAAAGAACTTGTAGATAAGTTTTGCATTAGTTGAATAGTAAATATCCTAGTATTATTTCATAGTTGAACATGATTCAATACTGCCATTTATATATATAATGTTTTTACATGAAGAAATAGTACAGACTTAGAAAACTTTTAAATATGAGTTATATTGGCAGTGTAGCCCATTTGAGGATTGAAATAAAACTGTTAGTGTTTGCACTGTATAGTCTACAGTTCAAGAGAAACCAGCAGCTGTGGTTTTATCTTACACAGGATAATATTCTACGTCTATATAGTAAAGGTTACCTACTCCATTAAAATTTAAACTGAAAAATATCCCAAGAGAAAATTATATTTGTGGTCGGTGTTCCCTCTAAGCTGCGTGACCGTACAACAATCAATCAAGTGCCGCGCACATCCTCATTAATGGTGAGTTGTCTCAACACGTTGACGACATTTATGACCCTGGCAGTTGATAGGCCTAAAGTTCAAATAACCAACTGATAGCACTGCAAGGCGGCTTTTATAATCCAATAGGGTCGATGGTCTAACCCCCCCCCTTAAAAAAAAACTGGTAGTGAACATCCGCACACTTCCTTGATACAGGTGCACATGAAAAAATTCATTCTGTAAGTGGATTGAAAAAATTAGAGGGAACATTGTTTGTGGTATATTTTATTAATACTTAACATACTTCCAAACATCTATTTTATGTATCTTCGATGTTATAATGTAATAAATTTGGGTTACAAAACTGTCACCGCTTTCAATTCTGTAAAAGCAAGCATCATCTGTAAATTTTTAGAATATTTTTTATTCCTTCCTTCACAAACTGCTAGAGTAGAATCTTTTACATTTTCATGTAGTTTATACAAATCATGATTACAAACACACACACACATGTAGAGAGAAACAGCCAATTATACATACACACACACACTTATATATATATATTATGAGTTTTATATATATGTATGTATATGTGTGTGTGTATATATTTAATATACATATATATATATATATATATATATAGCAAGTTAAATATATACACACACACTTGACCGCTTACCATTCTGCTAATTCATTCAACACCAAATCAGTTTATCTATTTATACACTAGATTGCTAAGTAAGTCTATTTTTTCCCTATTGGCTACGTGGATGTGGCATGGTTGTTCATCAGGAAACGGTGTGTTTTTGAAGGCAGCTGAGGAGTTTCTGAGCCAAATGACAAGGTCTGATTGGGATTACCAGCAGAAGAACTTGCTACAGCTACTGATGCTGTTCTTACAAATGGTGTTGCTGTATTTGGAGGGCTGTTAATGCTGGTTTGAGAATGTCTGCGATGTGTAGGTGGAGGCTGTAAGGGCAACTCTGGAGTAGCAATACGACGTGGTAAAATAACA